AGAATGAGAGACAATGAGGGAGAGCGAACGCGGCGATGGGAGGGTGCTCTTGATTCGTTTGCCCCCGAGTTTAGCCGTCTGGTGAGCGCTGTTGCTCTGCGGCACTTGTTTTTTACCTAATGGTATTGTGAAAGATCCGAACTTACAAGATCGAATTCTTAATTATTACAAAATCTATAGCGCTGCTATGAGTTGCTGGTATAAAAAAACAATCTTTTTACAAATGTGTTTCAGAGAAAGAAGGTACAATTGATGAAGTGGTCATAGGGCCCCAGCCAATTAGTACTTCAGTATCAAGCAAGGGAGGAGCAGCAAAGTATGTGTATTCATCCACTTTTATGTTAGGTAACATGTCAGTAATCTGTAATGAAGTGGTCACGTTGTCAGAATTTTGTTTATGTAAATGTGAAATTCATCACATGACAAAAATCTCATTAGTTTCCTTAACTAGATTTTTCCATTTTCTTTAAGAGATATTGGTGAAATACTGCAGTCTGTCTTGCTATCTTGCAATATATGTTGTCTCTTTACCATGAAATATATATACCACCACAAAAATTTGACTGTAATTGTGGTAGCTGCTGTTAGTTAGAAATGACTCTGCTTGCAACGTATATCATGGATATGCTATGGCATAAAATCTATTCTACTACTAAAATCATATAAAGCTGTGCCATAGTATGAGCGTAGAACGAATTATCTATGCAAGATAATTTTGTTGTATTATATTCAGTATTATTCGATATTACAGGGTGAGAAATTAACGCAAGTTTGGAGTCAAATACTCCCTGATTTACTGTCGGACTACCTGATTTGACATATGCAGGAGTCCGTGTGACTCCCTGAAAATTCTGCTATATAGTAACTAGTTCATTCCTGAGCACGGCCTCATGGTATTACCGTATTTTTCCAGCAAATGTCCAAAGAAAATTTGGCAGACGTGCAACTGCATGAATCTTCAAAATAAGCACATGCTTATTGCTAATATCTTTAGTTTTGAACTTCAAACTGCGGACTCCCTTTTTTTAAGGGCAGGGAGTTCGTTGGACTCCATTGTTCAAAAGTTAATTTCTACCCCTGAATGGTTCTGTAAATATTACTAATGCATTCTTAAATGTATTACCTGTTCACTGCTTGTGTGATAATTTAAAATACTTGCTATTCGATTACTAACTTCTTAATTTTGTTTTGTTTTATTTCCTTATGCAGTTATGGTCACGCACTGCTGCCAGGAGAAGGAGAAGCTATGGCTGCTTACGTTGCAGAAGGCAAGAGAATTCCTCGCAGAGGTGAAATCGGACTGACAAGCAATGAAATCGAGGATTATGAAGCAGTTGGCTATGTGATGAGTGGAAGCAGGTAGGTAGCAATTATAGTGCCAGACTATTTTGCACCCTAGGCAAGGCCAACTACTTACACCCCCCCCCCAAAAAAAAACAGTTATAACTGATGTAGGCCTGGAAATTTTTAGAATATCTTTTAGTTACACAGATGGATCGTATAAAACTGTGCCCCTCAAAGGTCCATACTGCGCCCCTCTGAGGTCTGCGCCCTAGGCGGCTGCCTAGTCACGGAGGCAGCCCCGGACTGGTGTGCAGCGCCAAAACACCGCGTAGCTGTAGCAATTACAAATACGCTGCACTACCACGAATACTTTTACGAATACTTTCACGAATACTCCTACGGAACGGGGGTCGAAATGAGCTAGCAAGTGTTCTGTCGATCGCATGAAGCTTTTGACTACACACGTAGCTAGAGATTTGCTCGAAATGCACAAAGAAGTTTTTAGGCTAAGGGGCGTGCGTCCTTTACCGGTAAAAAAACGGAGTTTAAACGTTTTATGTGAAGACACTCCCACGGCGAATGCCAATCACGGTGTCGTCACACACGCCTTCGTAGCATACCGAGCCGCGCTCTGCTTATCTCGACGGAGGGCTTTTTCTGGACACGGGCGCAGCCGCCAGCTCACCTCCCCCCGCATCTCGTCGCCCTCCCAGTCTCGGTCGCTGTGCAAATGTCCCGCGCAGTCATAGGCTAATATAAGCGCGGCTATGGGCGGTAGGAAAGTCTACTAACTATCATATGGCGCGAACGAGTTGAATTACATTTCTATATATTCTAGCACACGGGTCCTGCACACGGGGGCGGCCGGCCAGCGCGCGCGCGTTCCTAGCATTATCGTGGGGGTTTCTTCAAGGGGAGGGCAGTAGCGCACGGAAATGCTCGCGCATGCGGAGGTGAGCGGGGGGCGGTGTCTGCCAGAATAAATTGAGAAAATCACGTCCTGTGTTTTAGCGGTGAATCACTTTATTCATTTCCCGTTTGTCCTTTACAGGTAAAATTACCAGTGTTATTATTCCATTCGTTAATATTAATAGAACTAGTGTACTGTGTCAGAACGATGTTAATTCTCGCCTTTGTAGAATAATCGGGTGATTTTGTTCGCATGTTAATTCAGACAAAGCGACTTGTTGTGGCGACGGCAGGGCGGGAAGTTTGCACTGCAGGCCGGGGTTGCTGTGGCGATACATATTGTTTATCAAAGAGCAGCACGTAGGCCGGTTTACATGTAATCGCTCGAGTTTAGAGGCGCGTTTTAGAATACATACGTACTTACATTTTTGTTAGATATTTGATGATACTATACTACATGTACTATATTCTGAGACCTGTTGCAATAGTACTGGGACGAGTTAATGCAATACGAAGCTAGGGTTAGTGTGCGAGTTAGTGTGGCTTTGACAGTGATAGGAGAGATAAAAGTTGGCAACAATACTTAATTCCTATGAGGATAGAGACTCTGTCAGATAGGAGGGGCCGAGTAAAGTTATTGTTGGGAACAACAAGACAATAGGTGTTAGTAAGTTGACTGAGAGCAGAATTATTAATCAGTCATTCAGAATTATTCAGCCTTTATTTCATGGTCTCAGTTACCACAATTACGTAACAAGTATCTACTAAATCCAAGTGATGTTTGAACCTTGATGTGTTTGAATGTGAACGCCGGCCAGCGCAGCAGACAGTTTCAAAGCAACTAGATCCGTGGTCAGGATAAACGCCTAGCTCCTTTGCACGTCGCCTCTCTAGTATCCCGTCTCTCTTCTGGTGGGCCTAATGGTTGCACCAGCCATGCGTATAGTGCTTTGTGAACATTCAAGCATGACACTAGTCCACGGAGCAGTGGATTTTGAAGGATTGTAATTGTGAGGTTTATCATTCTCGATATCAATGCAAATCCATTGAGAAAATTTGGGAGGGGTGTATTATATTAAAAAAAGTTTGAAATTAACTGTTTAGTTTAGAGGCATTACCACCTGTTTTTATTCTCGAACAACATGAAATTATAATTAACATTCCAGCGACAAAACTTAACCTTTAATGTGATTATGTCACCATAAATAGTAAAAAGTAAAAAAAACTTTAAAGGGATCGTTTACTCTAGGTTCTAGGGTTATTTTCAGTTAATTTCGGCTAACATTACGCTACATAAAAAGTTTCATGGTTCAATCACCATTAGAAATATTATTAAAACATGTTTTAAAACTAACGTCTACAGTTTGATTACAACGACGGTGGTGCCACTCAACGCGCACGATCTGATAAGTTGCGCAAAACCACTTTTCAGCCAAGGGCTACAGACCGAGGGTGTTTCTTATTTATTAATTTAAAAGCAAAAGGATTGTAATATCTTATAAACGACATATAGTTTCAGTTATATTATGGATAAATTTGTCCTAAAATGTACATCGTTCGGTTAAATAGCATTTAGGTATGAATATAATTGCACCTTTGTGATTAGCCCTCGGTCTGTAACGTGCAAAATAAATTGGCAAATACGCAACTTTTTCAGGGTGGCAGCATAGTCGCGGGTGTCATGGCGCCGTTCAAATTTCGTAGCGTTGATGTGTAATTAATTATAACAATTAAATTAGGTATCTGGTAACAAATACGTGTGGGTATAGACGATTTGTTATACAGTAAGTACAGTTGTATGCAGTCTATTATCCATTTAACCACTCTTATCTCTATCTACCTATCTTATCTCTATCACTTTATCTCTTTGTCCACTCTTTCACAAAATGTAAGTGATTCTGTTCTCTTTTTATGGTTAAATTGCTGCAATATACTTTCTATTTTGCTATTCGGTTCGATGTGAACCTACACTCATGACTCATATATAGCCCTAGCTCCAAGAAACGGTATCGCTAGGGTTAGGATACCCATAGGTATAGACAATCCGTCGCACAGCCTGGTCGGGCTAATATAGCCCATACTCATAGCAAGCATTTAATATCGCTATCAATATATCAAATTGCCCAGGTTTTTAGGATTTTTAACTAGTTGAGAAACAATCTTATCAGGTAAGAATTTGAGGATAAATATAGTTCCATTAGTACCTATTTCTCATGTAAAAAAATTGCAACAATATTTTTACAAATATTCAGCATAGAAAATTAATGACGTAGTCAATTTAATTAACACAACATTGTGCATGCACTCGTTCAGTGCACAGCTTACTCACTGCCGAGCTGAGGTAACATACTGATGCGTTGTCAGTGTATCCATGAAAAGGAAGGCGTTTCTGTTTAAAACAATTTTGTGCTGTTATTAGTTTCTACATTATAGTACAGTTTGATAATATAGTTTTGAGTTTTTAAAGATTAAAAAGATTTTTTATATGAAGATTATAATTATATTAGAATATAATATATAAAGATTAAAAAGAAACTATAAAAAAACTTCTTTTTTTAAAGTACATACCCAATCCACACTGTTTGCTAATGCTTAGAATAACTGGCACCTTGTGTCATTTAGAATTGTCTATAACCTTACTGGCTAAATTCATATTAGTTTGCCTTACTTCAATGCACATTATCTCACAAACCAGCTGTTGTATCTCTCTTAGTGCATGAATTAGAGTAGATATTTTTACCTCACATCACTCTTACTCCAATAAATTAGAGGACGCCGATATGTGAAACTCAACCACCACCTTTATTCCTAGAATCCGGAGAGTGCTCCTTCCCGCCAAAATGATACATCAACAATAGAACATTACACCAGCCTTCTTAGTTTCGCTTATCAACAGCTTGACTAAAAATTGGGTCCGTGTTTACACTATTTGTAGCGGAGTGACTACATTAACTTCTTTGTTTATTTTACATCTAAATGGTTTATTTATTTTTTCTTCATATCAAGCACCAACGGATCATACACGTGAACTCCTCTTTATTCTCTTATTTTCTGCCTATGTCGTCTTATGTAACATAACGAACGAACGTATCTTAACGAACGGTTAATCTGGAAAAATTCAAAGAGCACATTTACTATTTACCGTGTGTGCTATGCTGTTTGTGTAGCTCGCTATGGACAACAATCTTTCTGGTAAATACAATTCAAATACACGTACGGCAATCACAGCCGAATCTGCTACTATTAATTTAGAAAGACATTAATAATTATTTATAAACACAAATCCCTTACCACGCTGGGTTCTTTAGGGTTTTAGAAGCACATTAAAATTCACGTCTTCACCGGTAAGCCACAATGGCGAAAAAGAGCGCGTGCGTCACATCCCTTGGCAACTAGCCGGTATCAATGCGCTGCTGCATAAAGTAGTGCACCGCGTAACCGCGTAGTGGCAGGAGTTGTCACCAACACTATTCATGTGGTAGTACAAGTGTAGGGCCGTGGGATTACAAACATAGGCAACTTCACACACCAAGTAAAACAAGCGGTCAGGGAATAAGCGATGCCTCCCGCCAGTCTCTAAACGACGTAATTAAGAGCCGTAAATAAAGTAGCCTTGTCACTATGCGGGCACTGACCGAGGTCACGTCCGAGTTTGTCGGACACATGTCATTAAGGGAGTACCTTAACGACAAGTGGTCGCGACACGGCCGGAGTGAACGACCTTCGAATAAAAGCCGCAACGTGGCGAGGACGGGGGGCAGGATATAAGGAGAGAGTTATTGGGTAGACAGGACTCTCCAGCTGCTAGGTGGTACGTGTTACACCGTTACTCTTCGTGTTTAGAATAAACCTATCGTTCACCGTTTACCGTTTACACCGTTGTTGTTCTGAATATCTACGTCTACTATTTACAAGCGTATGTTCAACGCTACACAAGTATGAGTTTAACTAAGAAGCATATATTCCGTATGTTCTAATTTGAGTGGCAAGCCTACCATGTATGTGGCCCAACATTCATTGAGAAATATTGAGTGCCCATATTATGCTTGCTCTGGCTGTTGAGATTCAAAGTGTCAACAACTGCTGCTAAATGCAGATGATTGCACTTTAGCTTTTGCTGGAAATGAGCTAATGCGTATTTGTGGTAAGGTGATATAATTATAAATGATGCAAGATGTCAGTTCTTCTTTCTAGTGTGGTGTTAGATATCAATTGTTTTTCTTTAATTCTATAGCTTCAGCGGGCAAAGGCTGAAGCACCCAGATTAGGCACAGCCAACTCAGACCAAATCAGTGCTTCCATTTACCAGAGCACCACCACCACCCTCGCACCCCACCTGCATCTACCAACCCGTCTCCCGCACCACCCCTCCAGGCACCAGCAGCCTGGTAGCCTCCACCCACCACCCACTAGGATCCCCATCCCCGAATTTCCACCACCCTATCACCTTAACCAGCTTACTCCTATTATCCTTACTAGGGCTATATTCGGGACCAACAATAAGTAACGATGGTGTGCGGTGGGGCAAGGGGGCAGTTTGTGTATTTTCACAATTCGTGGGTTTAATGCCTGACCAATTACGAAGTTTACACCAGTTCCTAGCTAATAGCCTGCCAAGCAGATGATCACAGCATTAAATACAGTTATGTCGTGATTATGAATGCTTGTTTATCTTCTAAAACGTTCAGTTGCACTCACATGCCTTATATTTCCTATATATATATATTCCTTAACCGAACACCCATTTTACACGTCTTGTAGGTGCAGTCCTTGCTGTCATGTCTTTTTGTGAGTGTTCATCTTTCCCCGCCACTATGCAGACAATTTGTGCGGGAGTTCCTGTCAACACACCAGAGAACTTCTATGACTGCATGTGGGCTGAGAAATCCTTAATGGTTTTACTTCAATTTTCCTTGGCAGACATCGCCGCATGGAAGCTGTGCGACTACGTAAGGAAAACCAGGTGTACAGCGCAGATGAGAAGAGAGCACTGGCTCTATTCAATCATGAGGCACGCTCAAAGAAGGAAGCTGTTATCCTGGGCCAGTTCAGAGAAATGATCAGCAGTAAGGCACACAGCAAGGGCTAAAAGCTTCTGGAATAATGACGTAGGAAGACCAAAAGACTCGTTATATTTCCAGTATACGAGAATTAGAATTTGTGTTTGTCTGGAATATTTCCATGCATACAGCTAAAGATTATAAAAAAATCTTTTGTGAAAAAGACTGAAACACTTTCAGATGGGAAGAGCTGAAAGCCTGCAGGCTAATTACACAGGTTGCCAAAATAATTGAGAACTAGAAGGCACTGGAATAATCCAGCGGTATGACATGGCAGCATCGCATGTGTAAGCATGATTGCATGACATGCAAGTGTTTTTACTGGGCTATCATAAAGGCCAAAACACATTGTAGTGGCAACGACCTACCATAGTCGGAGTGATTGGTACTAGTTGCACTGCAAGCATTAATGACTGGTGTTAGGTCAAAGAGCATCTCCCTTCACGCTGCACAATAGCAGATATTTAAAGTTTATAAAAGTCATGACTGTCGTAGAGTGTTGTGTGGCCTTATTCAGTGCCAGATGTTGTAGAATATGGTAATCAAGAGCCATAAATTATTACTAGTAACATGAAATGGTAACTGCATAAAAAATATGCGGAAATTTGATATAAATATTATTGCTGATAAGAACATTTGCATATTCAGCGCAAAAATTTATATAGTAATGTACATAAAAATATTGTTTTGTTGAGATCTAGTAAACAGCACAGTAACTATATTATCAGGAGTAAGATAATATAGGAGGAGTATGACGCTCCAAAACACGTGAAATTCAACATTTGCTTGTCATTACAAGACCATTCTTCACAGGCTAGCCACTGTTTGAACGTGACGGCAAACGTAAACCATCACCATAGTCAAACGCTATAAACCATGTGTGACGTCCAAAGCTATATCTCCATAACAAGAAGAGGTATGGAAACAAAGTAAAGTTTGAGTGTGCGGTGGATGCCCAACGCTAATTTAGATGTAATTTTTATCGAGTTGCACGTAATATATCATCGGTAAAATTAGGCAAGCAAATGTTGAATTTCACGTGTTTTGGAGTATCATACTCTTCCTATATTATCTTACTCCTGATATTATGTTACTATTTCTACAAATTCACAGTTCTGTTAAATAGTAACCATTGCTCGTATTGCTGTTTGCACAGAAGTTTGTGGTTTGGTGTACACAAAAGCCAATAGCTAAGGCAACAGCAACCGGGTACAACATGTACCAGTGCTATGAAAAAAACCTCAAAGTAAAGTATTGCATTATTTGGCAAAACTTTGTGATTATATTTACTGAAATCTGGAGAGCAGCACAGTAACAATATTATGTTATAGTCTGGTAGTAGAGCATTTTGACCAGGAAAAAATTCTATGGAGGAAATTTTTTCGAGTCTAAATATTTAGCACATTTTTGCATGCTTTTGTATGGAAAAGGTAAACGAGTAAGTATTTTACGAGACTTTTGGCAAGTTCATTAACCTTTATTACAGAAAATGCAAAGTCCCACCGGGCCCCAATGGAAGATTCCAGTCCAAAATATGAACGAGCGCCAGAACGTGGCCCTGCACAATTGTCAAGCATTTTGTCATGTATTTTGTGTAAGTGTAGTAATGGCAAAAAAATAAAAATAAACATGCAGTTTACCTCTAATTAACTATGGGAAAACAATATCTCCATTATTGTCAACATTGTTTATATCGTCAAGGATAACCTCCTTGGTACTTTGACAACTCTCTCCTCTGCAGACTCCACCGGCTGTTACACATTTCTGTCCATGTTTACGACAAGAACAACTGTTATTACCACAAGGATTTCTGACTGAAAGTTTGCAGTTACATCTGATAAACTTCAGTAAGCTTTCTTATGCTGCTGCTTCATTTAAGTCTGTGATGACTGGTGTTAGTATGGTATCAGCAAGTTTTCAACCCCATTGAATCAGATCCAGACCATTGTTTGTGAGCTTGAACCAAGGTAAGACTTGCAAGTAAACTCGCAATCTGAAAATATGCTGCTCTTTCTGTAGGTGAAAGCTTTTGTGGGTCGATTGAGGCTTTGCTTGTCGTTACCATCTCCATGTATTTAGCGTACCGTAGACTGTTCAAAGAACCATATGGTCTGCCTTTATGTAAGACAACATATAACTGGATACCAGCTTTGCGAACCTGTTCTACTATCGGTCATCAAGAAGGATATCTGCTGCAATTTTTCTGATTGTTTTATCTTCTTCAAAAGACTGGGTTTGCGATGCCCATATGTTGCAGAAGTGGTGTCGCAACCACTCCACGCATGGACGAACGGGAGATGAGATGTTACAACCTTGTCAGATTTGTTAACAAGGTCCTGAACTTTCCATAACTTCAAACCTTTCTTTGACCTCTTTGCTTCTGAGTGGAAGTATATATCAGCCATATTCTGGCTGCAATGGTACATCAAGAGGACAAGTTTATCCGTATCATCTGCTACTACACTTACTTCTCTTCCTTGTCTTGCAAATTGAAGGGCACATTCCACTATCAATGTGTCAGCATCTCTAGTAATGTTGTGCAAGATCTGACCATCAGCTTCAAAGTATTGAGTCAGCAACGTGATGAACTGACGTTTGTTCTTCTCATTTGCGAGAAAGGTCTGCTGGTCATTGTGAGCCTTTGTAGATTCACTAAGCTGAATATCTGCACACGTTTTTCCAACTCTTCGCTGGTGCTCGTGATCTTTAATTGAAGGACCCTCTTTGTACCCATCAAATACGATGCAACAGTTGCCATAACTTGCACGCTATATATAGTTGCATCGTTATGTCTTTGTATGTCACCTTCTTTTGCTATTGATAGAAGGGTTACTTCTGCTTGGTGTGAGATGCCGCCTCGTGCGTATAGTTTGACGCTCATTGATGTTCGCTGTCGGGTGTATCACGTCACTAAATGTATCGTATCAAATGATCCGGGATCACTGATACCAGGTCACTAACATCACATGATGCACTGCGCACGGACGGCTCGTGATCGTATGGTTATTGTTATAGTACTTTGCGATGTGTATGTGGCTCCCAGATTCGGTGTGTTGGCATCAATGTTCTTGCTGCGGTTGCGTAAGCGACATGAGTGTATTGACGAGTAACGACCAATCTCACAGTAGAATGCGAACACGTCGTTGTAGAGTAACGGACTATAGGTTTTATTCTACTCAAAGAATCACTAATGCAGGCTAGATGACGTTTTACAGTACACTTAAGAAAACGCGACTTTCTTTTAAGACACTTCTCTGACTCTCTATCTTTTACTGCCACGCCTTTTTCTCTTTGGTTTGGGGCGCGCTAGCGCGTCCATATTGGGTAACGGAGACGCGCGCTGTGCCCCCACGTGTTAGAATATGGGTCATGTGTCCGGAGGCCTGGCTGGCCATTGGGTTGTGCAATTCTGCATTGTAGAATTCGCTATTCTTAACCGCACTATTCTTAACGACTACTTAATGTTCTAACCTTGGGCGCCTCAAAATATCTCCCGCTGCGCGCCGCGCGTAGCCGCTGCTACACTATTTGACTCAAAAAATCTTTCAAAAACATACATAGCTTGCACCTTTTCTGCAGACGGTTGTAAAGCATTTTCGATGGCTTGTGCTAGTTGTGCTTTTACAGGTTTGCGCTTAAAATTGTCTTTAAATAGTGAAATTGGTATTGCTGTAAGCTCATAGCCAAAGTATGGAGCCATGTCTTCCTCTCTCACTCAGTACAATAGCTATCTATTGCGAAATCTCGAATTTCGCCTGTGCCGGTTCTATCATCGACGTTCCGTTATATGCTCTTTGATTGATGCTGAAAACACTCCACATATATATCACTCGTGGTTTTATTATACAACGCTCCATACAGCTCCATACATACGGTGACTGCTCGCTAGTCCGACGGCCCAATAGTCCGAAAGCCCACTAGTCCGAAAACCCACTAGTCCGAAAGCCCACTAGTCCGAAAACCCACAGGGGATGGGGTATCGATCTATAGTCTTAATGTTTAATTATTTATTTATTTTTTAATTATTTAATTTTAATTTTAATTTTTAATTTTAATTGTATTTATTTTGTAATTGAAATTTTGGGGGGGATGTAGGGGGAGGTGTGTGTGGAGGGGGAGCTAGGTGTGTGGATGCGTGCAAAATTCTAGACTACGATAAAACCTTGTTATACCGCCCCTTGTTATACCGCCCCTCGTAATACCGCCAACCTCACTTGGCACCCGCACAACCCTCACACGCGATATTACGGAAAACTATATACACATTAAATGATACACATAATATAATTATAACACGTTACACAGAAATGTTTAGGAACTGTTACAGCACAACAGCCGCTGTGGTCCTCCTTAGTTCCTCGACTTCTTCTTCTTCTCCCGCTTCCTCTTCGGCTTGTCCTTCTTCTTCTTCCGCTTCTTCTCCTGCTGGGCACCTCTCCTCGTCGTCGGCTTCTTCTCCTGCTGGGTACTTCTCCTCGTCGTCGGCTTCTTCTCCTGCTGGGCACCTCTCCTCGTCGTCGGCTTCTTCTCCTGCTGGGTACTTCTCCTCGTCGTCGGCTTCTTCTCCTGCTGGGTACTTCTCCTCGTCGTCGGCTTCTTCTTCTTCCTCCTATTCTCCCGCCACACGTGTTTCTCAAACACAAACTCCGGCCCCTTTTCCGGCCGCACGTGTCTCTCTCGGACTCCACTCAACCGGTTCGTCTCAAATTGTCACTTCACTCGACGTCTCCTTACACGTCTACCTTAGACACAATCTCTACACGTCTATATCAGACCAATACTTCACACGTCTATCTCAGACACAAACTGTACCCGTCTATAACAGACCCAACTTCCACACGTCTATTCCAGACAAAAACTCCAGGCCGTCTGACCTCTCCCGCACGTCTCACACTCGCCAGCTATCGCGCGTATGAATCACCTAGGACTTAATCTAGGTCACGCCGCGTGTCTAAACTCTGTCACTTGTGACACCAGGAAAATGCCAATGTACAGATCGTTTGGATCTGTTTGTACGTAATTTAGCCTCGTAATACCGCCCCTTGTCAACTGCCAACCGCCAGCATTATGGCTATGTACAATCCTATATAAACGCATTGAAAATACACTCATTATACTGCTTATACAGCAGTAGTATTTAGCGGTATACTAGTAGTAGCGGTTGAGATTCTGCCCCATCATCACTTGATGCTCGGGCGTCAATTCAGACTGTATAGACCCTTCTTAAATATTTTCATGACCTGGGGTCTGTGAGGCCCACAAATGTAAAAATCAACCACAAATGTAAAGATAACCACAAATGTCATAACATGTCAACCACAAATGTAAAAATAACCACAAATGTCATAACATGTCAACCACAAATGTAAAAATAACCACAAATGTCATAACATGTGAACCACAAATGTAAAAATTTTGTTTAACCACAAATGTAAAAACTTTGTTTCATTGTAAAATAAGTTATTATCAGATGTATGTATGTGTGTGTGTGTGTGTGGGCACGCGCGCGTGTGTGTGTGTGTGTGCGCGCGCGCGTGTGTAGTGTGTGGTGTTGTGTGTGTGCGTGGTGTGTGCGTGCGAAGCGTGCATTGTGTGCGTGCATGCATCGTGTGTACGTGCGCGCGTGCGTGTGTACGCAGAAAAGTTCGACAGTAAGCACCCCTGCGACTGTCAGCGACGGGTTCGACTGGAAATTGTCAGATCGCCATGCCGCAGTCGGCGAGCGAGTCGTACAAGTTCTACTCAATGCGTTTATATAGGATCTGTACTAGCTCAGTATGGCGCGGCGATAAGTAGGATGGCGGTTATTATCGAGGGCGGTATAACGAGGTCTTACCGTATTCTACAATTTGCCACACATACCACACACAGCCCCCCACACACACCTCGCCCTACATCCTCCTAAAAATTAAAGATTAAAATTCATTAAAATTAATTAATTATTA